TATTGTGCTTACACCTTAAGTTTTTGTGGAATGGCAGGGTGGGAGGGGTATTGCTTTTATTTTTTTGAACCTCCAAGTTTGTCATCAACTCTCCTGGTTGCATCAGTCAGTTTGTTTGGACTAGTAGCATAGGTTTTCCTTTTTCCCTCCCTAAACCACAGATGCTTCCTCTTCCGCTTTGGCTTTTTTGTTTCCTTTTTCAGGTCTCACAACTGTTTCCTCAATAGTGCAGTTTAGTATGTATTTGTGATTTAGTCTAATACAACACTGGAGGGATGGCAATTAACATGCTAAAGTCATTTTGGACAAACTCCCTCATTCTTAATCTAAGTTAGGGATGTAATTGTGACATCCTCTTTCTTCATCTGACATAGTTGATTTCCTTTGAGAGCTCAATGTCAGGTAGGCCTATTTCAAAATTTCTTAGATTGACCTTTTGGTGTTTAAGGCCTTAGTTTCAATAGAAAAGAGGCAGGATCAATCAACTTCTCTGTACTGTACTTTTTTAGTAGTGGTAATTTCTGTTAATATGTCAATTGACAAGGTTATGTCATTTTATGTTCACTATTTATTTTCTGATATTAAAAGATCTTGTTATTCCTTATCTTAAACACTCATTTGTTCAGTTAAATAACATTTCATGATTCCATTTACATTAACCTGTCTCTCTCTGTGTGTGAACGCGCGTGTATCTGTGCACACACTTATTTTGTTTCCTGAATGAAGTTTCAGATTACATTTTTAGTATATCCTGTTGCTGAATAGGAATTTTAAACTACTTGTACTGTGGTTTCCTTAAAGTGCTACTTAAAGATAAAAGGAGAATTGTTTCTTTTCTTCTGGAGAGTTTTGAAAAGTACTTTTGTGTATTGTCGTGTAAAATAAATATCTAAGTAGAATTAAAATCTGATTCTGCAGTGCTATTTGATTTTTGCTTGTGTTTTTTTACTTTTATTTGTGATCTTCATAGTACGGTAATTACCTAAATTAAAAATGTGTTTATTCTCCAGATTGGAAAATTAAAGATAACAAGTTGGACTAAGTCATCCTAATATTAACAGGGACATAGGAGTTTATTATATTGAGTTAAATCAGTAACTATTGACCAATAGCAACTACACACATTCAATACTGAGTTCAGAAGATATGTCCTAGTTGAAATTTCACGCAAGAATTCTCCAAAGGTGGGTCACCACTCCCAAATATATTGTTTGGATACTATATTAAAGGTCAATTACAATACTGTAAAAGCAATACGCAACCTATCCAACAATGAATTTCTCAGGATCTATGGTTTGAAAACATAACTGGCTAATAGAAGACATGCTTTCTTTAATAACTTTAATCAGAATAGAGCTGGAAGGGACCTTGGAGGTCTTCTAGTCCAACACTCTGCTCAAGCAGGAGACCCTATTGAAGGAAGTTAGCCCAGAGAAGGAAATATTAAAAGGGCAGAAAAATATATTTTTCCTCAAAAGGATTTTTTTAAAAAAACCAAACCTGGCCCCAAATCTATCTCTCTGCCCCAAGCAAGAGCTAGCCCCATACAAATGCAGATGTAAAACCACCAGGAAGTTGGAGCCAGAGCAATCAAGAAGACAGAGAAAATCTGCATACCCCACCCAAATTCTAGGAGTCAGCCCCATCACCTGGGAAGCAGGATATGATAATAGGATTAAACTACAGATATCAAGTCCTAGAAAAACACTCAGAAATAGCCTCAAGGTTCATGCCACAGGAACAGGAAACTATTCCAAGCAAGGCTAGAGGGAATAAAAACGCCCATGTGCTCAACCCCTCTCTTTCCTCTCTGCCCTTTCCTGCAAGGACCATCCTTCTGCTTCTTCAATAAACTGTAACCTTCTTCCCAAAGCAGTCGCCATGTTGCTTATTTATCCCAGCTTGGATGAACCAGGATGAAGACTTACTTCTGACACTATAGTATACCATTTCAGACAGGTGACTGCCCAGTCTTTTCTTTAAAAAGAACCTTCAACTTCTGAAGGCAAGCTGTTCCACTGGTTAATTGTTTTCACTGTTAGGAAGTTTCTCCTTAATTCCAGATGGTTTCCTTGATTAGTTTCCATCCATTGTTTCTTGTCTTGCCTTCTGATGCTTTTGAAAATAAGTTGATCCCTCTTCTTTATGGCAGCCCTTCAAATACTGGAATACTGCAATCATGTCACCCCTAGTCCTTCTTTTCTCTAGGTAACCAATTCCTGCAACCATGCTTCATATGTTTTAGTCTCCAGACCTTTGATCATCTTAGTTGCTCTTCTTTGCACTTTTCTCAAAGTCTCAACATCTTTTTTGTAATGTGCTAATCAAAACTGGATGCAATATTCCAGGTATGGTCTTACTTAGGATTTATAAAGCATACTAATACTTCACATGATTTTGATTCTGTGCCTCTGTTTATACAACCAAGGATTGTATTAGCTTTTTTGGCTGCTGCCACACACTGCTGGCTCATGTTTAAGTTATTGTCCACTAGGACTCCAAGGTCCCTCTCACAGTTACTATTTCTGAGTGAGGTTTTGCCTAATCTGTAGTTGTATCTTTGGAAAATTAAACTAATAGTAACTAAAATTAACTAAAATAATGTAACTTAATTACATTAAAGGTTGCTTGTTTGCTAATCTTATTAATGAAAATCAAATATATGATGATGCCCTCTTTCTCTTGGCAAAAACAAAGGATCAACTGAAAATATTTTAGTCTGCCTTTTATATTAGATTACTGTTCATCACTATAAACATATTGAACTGTGGAATGAAGCAAAAGTGATTTTAAAATCCAGAAAAGTCAGCTGAGCTTTCACAAAATGGAATCTAGCTCAGTTACGAGTTTATTTAAGCAGAGTTTGCTTCAGACCTGTTGAATATGTTGCTTAAAGGCAGAGTTTTCAGTTTTTACACAGCAGTAAACAACATGAGAACTTAAATTCCAAGTGTCCATTTAAGGTAATGTCCAGTGAAATTTCAAGGTTGGAGCAGAAGATCAAATTTTGTTTTGTTTTTGTGAAATCAACCAAACCCATTTGGAGTATTCATAGATCACTTTAATACAGCAATCCAAATTTAGCAACTCTGGGAACTTTTTAATGTGGTCTGTTCTGTTCTGTTCTATTCATGTAAAAAGATTAAAGAGAACAAACTACAGCTTAGCAGTTTCAGGAACTGATTCTCATCACGACCCAGCAATTTTATTATCTTTATTTTCCTCTTGTCTGAATTCTGATCTTTTTGTACAAGCAACAGGGTCACCTTGTTCATTTTTCCTGTTTGCTTCCCTCCCTCTGTTTTCTTTCTTTCCACACAGTGTACTACCATCTTGTGGCCACTCTTAAATTTCCTGTGCCTCTGTGAATTTCTTTTTACCATTCAGGTAAATAAAAGAAGAGGTTTAAAAGGGCCTATATTAAGGAAGTAAATTGAGTAGACCACCATGTATCATTGACAAACTTGAAGAAGAAAAGGAACTGTGGCCATATGCAAACCATCATTCCTTGCAGTAATGCAAATACATAGTGAAGATGTTTGAAGAGATGTCAAATTTCCCAACTTTAAATGAATGCCAACCAATATTTACCTCAGTTTACAGAGTGACTCCAGGTGGCTTACAGCATAGGGTTAAATATTCCTTTGGAGATTTACAACATAAATCCAAACAAAACAATGACAACAAAACAACAAAGCAACAAAACAACATTCTCTGGATGAGAAGTTTCAATTTGTAACAATGAGAGTTTCATTCGATACAAAAGGGTAATATCTACCATAGAGAGGCAGTTTGGTGTAGTGGTGAAAGCACCAGACTAGAACGCCAGTTTAGGCACAAAGCCAGCTAAGTAACTTTGGGCCAGTCACTCACTCTCAACCTGTGGAAGCAGGCAAGGACAATTGCCAGCAGTGAAAGATTGATCCAAAGACACGCATACCCCCCCAAAGAAATCTACCATAGTCAATCTATTAAAGTAAGAGTCATTTTAAATGAACCCAAACCCGATTTTTGGAACTATTGGGTGATTTGTTATATTATTCAGTGTCATGGATGGATTTGAAAGCACGCCAAACTGAAGAAAATTAAGCCTAGCGTCCCCTTGTGACCACACCATAAAACGCCACTATTTAGGGAACATAACAGGGAATTCAACGGGTGCAATATTAAAGCAGGCTTCGAGGGTGTAACAAGCCTTTGGTCTGCATGACCTGAAGCCAACCTACAGAAGCGGACACGTTGGGGGAGGAGGCGGGGGGAGGGGGAAGTTGGAGAAGCAGCCTTAGAGAGGACAGTCCCGTCTTCTTTCTCCTCCCGTTCTCAGCTACAAAGTCCTGTGAAACCTCACAGGCGGACCATCTAGTTGTAGCTTGAGATATATCTACACACTTCCTTTAGCAAGTGATGGGGGAGATCAGTGGGTGTCCAACGTTGGCAACTTTTAAGACTTGTGGACTTCAACTCCCAGAAATCCCCAGGCTGGCTCGGGAATTCTGGGAGTTGAAGTCCACAAGTCTTAAAGTCGCCAGGGTGGGACAACTCCTGGTGGAGATGGTTCTAATTTGGAAGCGGAAATCCATTTTACTGCCATTCTGGAAAGGGTAGGCTCACATTTGAGCCGGGTGGCAGAGTCACCTCGCAGGGCAGCCGGACTTTTCCTTCCTGGTACATAACTGGCCTCTGTGGCAAGCCTTCTCTTTTCTTTCCTTCCTTCCCGGATGCCCTCGCTTCAGCCTTACGCTTGGCCTCCTTTTTATTTCTTTATTTATTTATTGCGGACAAGCCGTTTAATCCAGATGGGTTTTATTGCCTTTTTTTAAAAATCTGCTTTTGACTTAGTCAGCCTTGTTAACTAAGGCCGAAAGGCGCTATTCAGAATAAACGCATTCCGAATAACTTTGCCTCCTCACTGCTCCGAAATATTTGGAGCGTTAACATGCTCTGAAACCCCACCCCACCATCTGCCTCCAAAATCCATTTCTGGCTAGTCAGCCGTCCTTTTCCCAACCTTTGCATCTAAAGGAGCCCATCGTCCGATGCGCCCCGTGCAGGCGTTCCCCACCCTGACGCCAGGAGCCCCGTTTTCTCGGCGTGCAGGTCAGCTGAAATGACCCGGGAGCCAAAATACCAACGTTTTACCCCCGTCTACTTTTGGGCTCCGCATTTAGCCATCCCCTTCGCTCCACCCCTTTCCCCGCCTCTCTTCGGCTTCTCGGTTAGGCAGAGACCCGCAGCGAAGGATTGTGGGAAACTCCCAGTCGCTTCCACCGCCCTCATTCGTTCCTCCTTTCTGCGGAGCATCTGGCTTGCAAGGTGTGTGACATCAGTAGCCGGGAGCCGAAGGTGGGAGTGAAGGTATGGGTGGCTTTTTCTTCTGGCTTTTCTCAAACGCGATAAGACTCCAAAGTGTAGGGAATATATTTTAAATGTTCAGGGGGAGGAGAATCGGGATTGGGAATTTTTTTTTTTTTTTTTTTGCACGCCGGAGAACCGAGCACGGTGTTTGTGAAAGGTTGAGAGGCTCTAGGGTGGGGAAAGCGACCAGGGCTGCAAAACTCAGGAGGGCAGTTAGGTGATAGCAAATCATTAAGGTCTTTTTTTAAAAAAAATCTAATTGCTGCCATCTAGCGATGGTCTGGAAGTTTGCGGCCTATCTATGCTATCCCTTCTCTGAAAGAGAGGTCATTGGACCGCTGCTGCTATGACAAAAGCATTTTGATTATAGCAGGAGTGTCAGTCATCTAGGTGCCATTAACCCCATCCTGCCACCTCAGCTCACTAAAAGGAAGATTGTGTGTTGGGATACTGTGTCCTACTGTCTGTCTTGAAGGTCAGATTATGGGTGTGAACAGGAACAGAAGCTGAAGACTTAACAGGCTAACCTTTGGCTTTAATGGCTGAAGAGCATCATGTGCCTTTTGCTTTAGTCATTTGCAGATAGGACTAATCTGCATAATGGTTTCCCTGGATGCTCAGAAATATTTCATCTTATAATTTTTTTTCCCTGGGAAAAACGTTACATCTGGTCCTGAGAAATAGAAGGCCAACTAAAAGAGTACTGTCATAGTCCAGAAACATATCTAGGCTTAGCTTAAATTAAACCGGGATAGGAACAGGCAGAAATTTAGGATCTTGGCAAACAATTTTAAAGGGGAAAAGGCACCTTTTGCAATGAAGGTCTGTCTCACCATGTAGCAACTCTCTTCAAATTTTAATGAGCAACCTGATTAATTGTGCATTTTGTTGCAATTTTATTATGACTGAAGGCTGAAGGCTGGTTTGTACAGAAAATATAACTACTTGCATCCTATCAAAAGTATTGTCTTCATTTGGAATTAAAATCTTAAGAACTGTGTTCTTTCCCCATCTACATACAAATACATACATAAACATACTTTCTACTAGAAAAAAATGACACTATCAAAACTTTTTTCAAAATTACATTTGAGTTTATTAGAAAAAGGAAAAAAAACCTAATAACTAAGAATAGCTATCCTTTGCTGCTTTTTAAAAAAGAATTTACTAGCTAGTTGTTGAAATCATACAGAATTAGGTAACATCTGTAGGAAATGCTTTTTAGTATCTGCTATCATTTTAACCAGTTCTACCTTGATCACTCCTGTACTGCTTGAAATACCAAAGGAAAAAAGTGAATTCAATGTCAAATTTTGGGGTTTGGGTTCTAAAAAAACCTTAGCTTTGTTTTCAATTTTCATACAAGACATGGATGCTTTTCTATGTTGCCTAAGAAGGCCAAAGAGCAGTGCTCAGAACTGTTTGGATTAGAGCTGCATAAAAAAATCAGTAATAAATAAGCAAATAAATATTTTCTCACAAACTACAACTGCTGTGGTTTTGTTTATGACTAAATGTTGAGAAATCTATATGCATTTGGAAAGTTTTTATCTGTAGGTTCACCAAGAATTGGCTACAGTTTGATGGAGCATAACAACCTATGCTTTAGACTAACATTTCCTGCTACAGATCTTTTCTTTGGAAAAGCTGTGATTTATTTGAAATATAATTCCAATATAATGCTTTGGATGTTTCCTCTTCATTTCCAGACTATGCATATATACCCAGTACAGTCAAGAAAACAGTTTCAACAACCAGATTAATAAAAAAGTGCATCAAGTTCCTTTTATTCAGTGTACACGAAACACAGGTTTTAATTTGGGGGGGGGAGTATCTAATTTTCACAGGATAGCTATTGCATTTTCCATTGGAAAGCCTTATTTCATAATTATGTGAATAAGCTGCTAGATTATTCTTTTCTGTGACTGTAGCTTGCATTCAACATTAAAATTTATTTTCCAGAGGGTACTAAAAATGGGATCATTCACCTTTTTTCAGTTCTCATGGAGTGATTAAGAAATACATGGGTTGAAATCAACTGGTTTCTCTGGAGGCTTTCCTCATGATTAGCTAGCTCAGGGGTTCTCAACCTTGGCAACTTTAAGACTTGTGGACGTCCACAAGTCTTAAAGTTGCCAAGGTTGAGAACCCCTGAGCTAGATAGAACATGTTCTCATATCTGGAGGATGCTTTGAAAGCTCCTTGCTATAGGTGCAGCATAGAAATGTCACGACTCATATAGAAGCCAGACATTCTTTGGCAATGGTTTCTCTTTACCACCACCCACTTTCCTGGCATTCTGCCACTACCATCCCTGGCAAGCTTAATTGCTCTACTATTCAGTTCTTTTTAGCCAGATTGTTTGACTGAAAGCTCACGGCAACAGGAAGACAGTTTTGCTCTTATTCTTTTTCTCTCTTGTTTCTTGATCATTTGAGAATAAATCATCCATCTCAGAAAGCACCTGGTGCTAAGTAGCTTAGAGATGCACAATTTCCACTACATGCCCTCTCAGTTTGCACAGGGGAATGGGCAGGAGAAGACTGTTGAATCCAGGCCCTCCCACTGATTGTGTGCTATTATTTGTTAAAGGTCATTGCTTCAAGCTGAGTCAGCATCTTTCTCTGCAGTGGCTTCTTGAATTTCCAGTGCGACACAGTAGCTTTGGACTGGTGCCTATGAAAGACATCTTGTGAGGTTCTGCCTAATCTTTGCTTTCACCCAACAGAGCGAACAGAGGAATTGCTGGTGACATTTGGACCACTGCATTGTTTGGAATCTAGTCAGATGGAAACAGAAGGAGATAGTTACTAGAAATATTGATGAGGGGGAAAAAAAGCTATCATTCTCTGTAGAGTTACTGTTCAGTGTCACAATACTAATAGCTTTGTTCTTTATGGTGCTCTGAATTTCTGCTTTTGACAAAGAAATGCTCCCCCACCGCATAAAATATCAGTATTGTGGCTGGTAGAATTCTAAACTCTAAATTCCATAATCAACTTTGTCACACCTGGAATGTTAATACAGTAGTAGTTTTCTGAAGTTAAGCTGTGCCTCTCTCTGTACAATGTTTGGGAGATAATTAAACATTAACCCCAAAGAATAGCATGAGATAAATCTACTTAAATGGGTAGTGAAAATTACTTTGTTGCAAGCAATACAACTCAGTGGTGATCAGAACCATAAAAGCCCACTTGAATCTTGCATTCCTCTATACCAGGGGTCTTCAAACTTGGTCCTTTTATGACTTGTGGACTTCAACTCCCAGAATTCCTCAGCCAGGCACGCTGGCTAAGGAATTTTGGGAGTGGAAGTCCACAAGTTATAAAAGGGCCATGTTTGAAGACTCCTGCTCAATACTCTATATAGTAAATTTCTTATTTTTTGCTCTTCTACTTGTGGCTAAAAGAGAATATAAGAGTATTGGCATCCTAAAGCATTGGCATCCTAAAGCATCAGCAATCTTATTGAGTGGTGTTTATTATATAACTTCTTTTCCCACAAATTGTAATTTTAATATGCAGCTGCTCAACCTGCCAAGAATATTAATCTGTGAGCCAAAGACTGAAACTTGAGACAAAATTTCTATACATAAATGAGTTCTTGATTGTGAATTGGCTAGAAGGAAAACATGCAGTTCGGGGAAGGATATGAAAATAGGAACCAGTGACATTCAACTTCCATCTAAAGAAACAAAGATATTTTCTCAGATGTTTGGTAACTAAAAAACTAAGGACGGCCACAAAATCATAATAGGCTGAATTTGCACAAGCTTCTTATGTTGTAAACTTATTATTTGTAAGTTATGATAGCTGAATTCCGTGGCACATTAGGCCAAAGTAAAACCAGCAATATTACAACCTAATACAATGAGTGAATTCAGCCAGAATTCAGATCAACCTTTTTCAACCTGGTATCCTTTATGTGGACTTGCCATGCTTCCTGATGTTGATGGGAGTAAAGTCTGACATATCTGAGCCTACGCATCAGGTTAGGGGAGGCTGCTATGTAAATAGACCTAGGCTAGATCTTGATTAGTTTAGTTCAATAGTATCAAAAAACACCTCATCCCGCTAAGGCCACATTCATATAGTTGCATTGTTATGTTCCACTCCCAGAAATGAGCAGGAAACCATGCCACTCTATTTCTTGCTATCCCCAAAGCAACCCTTACTGTGTACCTGGGGCCAAGGGCGTGCTCACATCTGTCCATACAGGTTTAAAGTGCAAATTCAAAGCCATGAGTGGTGGTAGTTCCCTGAGCTAAAATGCCACATGAAAAGGCACGTTCAGTTGGCATGTACAGTGCTGTGGCAAAATGGTATATTTTTTAAATTTTACTTCTATGCAGTAAAGACCAACTTAACCTTTAGTTTGTTTCAGTCATTCTTGAAACTATGGATTAACTAACCTGATATAGTGATATAAAGTCTGAAATAATGACCACCAGTGGGCAGTAACGAAAATAGGGCTTTTTAAAGTAACTTTTAGCCACTATGAAATGGAACAATGATCAGCCAGTAAGGAAGAACTACTGGAAAGCTAGCAGTGGAGAAATGGATTGAACAGGGGAGCTTCAAACCAACTTAAGAACATAACATGGGAAGAGAAAGCCAGGAGCTTTCACTATTTTCCAGGGTCACTGGAAAGGAATTCCCTGCCTAGAATAGACCTAGAATAGAAGTGTCACTTTTTCCTGCACTAATCAGGCTTAGGTTGGTCAGTTTTAAGATTTTGCACTTTCTAGGTCAACCAGTTGCCCAACTTATATTAAAAAAAATGGCTTGGAAGCTAGAGTTCCAGTCTCCAAAAAGGATTGAGGGATGAGCAAAGAAGTCTGGGCACAGACTGCAAGGGATGATCCCATAGAAAATGACTGGTGCTGAAAGATTGCAGGGACAAAGCACATTGTTTCACCCCATCTCTACAATGCACATTACCCCAGCATAACTACATTGCTTGAAATGGGATATTAAAGAAAACACCATTCCCAGAACTGA